ATCATAGATACATTACAAGTATCTAGAAATCATTTGACATTATATGGGATTAAGATGACAATATTAATTATGTGCTGATAGGCTTTCAGATTATAGTTATTCAAAAGGTTGTCACAAGGTTGTTACATGGTTGTCACAAGGTGGAAAACGTGTCAATTCCAGGGTTTTTACAAGGTGGTGGGCCTTGTGGCCAGGTAGTGACCACCCTTGTGACCACCTAGTAACAGTGGCGTAGCTAGGCTATTGAAGCTGCCAGGGCATTGAGAGAGGGCCAGGGAGGGGACAATAAATGCGTGCGGCGATTTTTGCCACGCCCCTTTTTACTGCATGAAGGAAGCGTTTTCCAGGCCTCCCTCTTTTCTGATCGAGTGGTACAGTAGCTGCTTCATCATCAACATTTCTTCTCTTCACTCCATAGTCGAAAAGGGTCTTCTGTCTCTTCATAAGTAAAGAACCGAACCGATTCAGTGTGTACAGATAGATTATTAATTATTCACTAATTTCAGACCTCACCCACAAGGCACAAGAAGTATAATTAATTGAATATCAATTAATAAAAATAATGAATTTAATTAAATCTCTGCTTTTTTACCAGGGCACAGGCCCTCGTGTAGCTATGCCACTGCCTAGTAACAACAACCTTGTTACCAGGTTGCCACAACCATGCCGCAACCTTGTTTTTTCTATATGGGATATATTAAGGTTAACTAATATTAATAAAGAAATTTTTAATAAGTTAATGACGTAAATACACACACGTGGATACACATGCATGAAAACATCAATGAAAACAGTCAATAATAAAAGGTGTGGCTCTGTGGGTGTGGTCTAGATATCATATTAAAACTGTATCAGTACTCCCGATATGAGTTGATATTGATCAGTATTGTATCGAATCCATTTTGGCCAGTATCGCCCACCACTATTTTTCAGCTGGTGCCATTGCAGCTGTTGTATGCATCCTGTATTTAGCATACCACTATTGTTAGGTAGACCTGATCTAGATTGTTGTTGCAACAATCTGTTACATGTTAATGTGCATCACACTCATTTCATTTTTCTGTTTCTTTACGAAACAAAGTAAAATACATTAGTAGTTTAGTACAGTAAATTGCACAAACCTTGCAAACCAATTCATAAACCAATCTATAAGCTTCAAAGGGAGTGTCTAAATTGAGGTGTGTCTTGCATTGTGTGGTCACATTACCACCTACTTGGCAGTTTGCAAGGTCTATGCAAGTAGCTGTATTCATCAACACTAATTTAATGTACATGCATTTTTATTTTTTTTCCACAGCTGGTACACCAAACACTCCCACTTCTAATGATGAGTCAACTTCTCCTACAAAACAAAGTAAAATACATTAATATTCATTGATACTAGTTTAATGTATTAATTGTAAAGGTATTCCACAAAGAAGTGTATCTGATACAGGAAGCACTGGCTCTCATCAAGAAGCTAAAAGTCCTAGTATGTTGTTAAACAAATACTTATCTTTTCATTTTAAAAATCGTTTTTTAAAGAACAATCTTGTGTGTGTATATGTATTACCGTATACTGGTTTATTTTTGTGGCAAAATATTTTCGCGAATTTTGCGGTTTTTGCTCCATTACAAAAATTTTCCACCACGAAATTCTACATCTCCATTGCCATGTGTGCAGTCTGCAAGCTATTCGCAAAAATTAATTCCTCGAAATCTTAGAAATGCAAGATTCACGAAAATTTTCTACCGCACAAATAAACCAGTATACAGTATGCGTGATGAACTAATTTGTAAAATATTTTAAATCCACAGGCAAGGAGCTGAATAATGCTGTAGTCACAAAAATATTCTATACTTCTGCTGACCATTACAGACTGATAGGGACTGGATTGGGTGTAAAAGTGTCTGATCTGAAAGACACAGCAATGAATAACCTTATTACAGTAATTGAGAGGTGGTTTGAAGTCAATGAAAATGTCAGTTGGGATGCTTTAAAAGAACTTTGTGATGACTATCCTGATGAACTGGGCAAAGCAAAGGCTAAGCTAGATAAATTACTTTCAAAAATGGGTATGTAGTTATATTTACATCACATATATTAAATGGTTCAGTGTTCATTACAAGTGGCAAGAACCTTTCTGTTAATTATTTGTAACAGTTTCTGCCTAGTTGGGTGGAGTCACTATTGTTTCACATTCTTCAAGTAAAGAATAATTTTTTTTCTTTTTTTTTGTAGGAGAGAATGCAAGTAATTTTGATGATCTAATAGAACCAGGTATTACAAACACATTAATTAATACAAACTAGCCAGTGACTTACAAGCCTTAAGTGTGTGAACTGCCTTGTTCATGATGCTATATGGTTAATTTCTTTTACTTACATGTACATGTGTATGTGACTGAAAAAGAAATTATTGCTTATGACCCCCAGGTCCTAAAATGAGTATAGCTATAGCAAAACATGGCAGCTTTTAAACAGGAAAAAGCTTGAAGTTTTCTTAGCTTTTCTAGGACAAAGGTTTAGGGTAATAACATTACCCTCATTATTTATAAATTAATGTTCTTAATTTTGAATAATTTTTGTCTGAAAAGGAAGGGATACTAAATATGAAGGATACTTATTTTATGAGGAGAAAGCCGATTTAAATGAATATGTAGCAACATTTACTGTAACTAAAGACGAAGACACACTCGATGATGTAAGTATATTATAATGAAGTATATTGTGTACATGATGTGTATTAATGTGTTTATTTACAGTATGCTGAAAGGAAGCACCCTGGAGCTGTGATATGTCTACCTATCACCTTTAGATTTGTCCAGCAAGACTCTTCACTTACATCAAGAGGCGATTATATTGAATTACAGTTTGATACTCCACAAGATGAACCAACCACTGGATGGATTATTAAACCTCACACAGTACCTTGTAGAGTAAGTACTTGTATCATATATATATATATAATTAATGTGCGTGTGTGTGTCAATAGATATATAGAAGTGATGTTGATAAGGTTGGTACACCTGGCTATCCTGACCCTCCTTCCTGCAGTATATCAGTACATGCTACACCTGATGCTGTTCTTAGACTACATTATACTATACCAGTGGAAGGTATGGTTAAACGTTATACATTGGACATTAGAAGGACATTGAGAAGAGGTAAAATAGATTGGAGGGGTGTGGTCTAGTATTAATAACCACACCCATTACACTACTCACAATGCTAGTACTAATATAATGATATTCATACCTTCAGTAGTATAAGTATTGTACTAGTCAAATGCAATGCATTAATGAGGTGAGCTTGAGTCAGTCGTGGTATTGCGCTGACTTTGCTGCTAGCTAGGCTGCTTTTCTAGTTAAATCTTGAGTCTGGGACACTGTCATAACCCTCTGAGCATGAAGAAGAGCGTCCTTCCAGCTAGGTCGCTGAGGTTGATCTTGAGCTTTTATCTTGCTTCATACATGCAGATGTGTTTTTACAATATTTCATTAGAATGATGCTACCGCATTAGATCATGGACAGATAAATAGATAGTAGTGCACACATGGGGCGTGACCAGAAGATGGGCGTGACTGGAGATGTACATACATACATACATACATACAGAAGACTCCTGCTACAGTGTGGCTTGCTCAAGTTCACCTTAATTAGTAAATAATGATTTAATTGGTTATTGACACATACCATGAACTATCCTTATGATTTTGATAATTTATGTTCTATTACTCCATAGGTCCTCTCTTAGACATTAATGATTTACAGTATCTACTTGACACATTGAATGAAACTCACTTCTCACAGACGGAATGGAACCCCCTTGGTGATGCTTTAGGATTATATGGTTCTACACTGAAGGCTATTGAGGCTGAGTATCCTGGAGATGAACAAGGATGTCTGCAGTGTCTAGTGAAATGGCTAGAGAGAGCTGATTGTGTTGATGACAAAGGAGGTCCAACAATGTTCTCTCTATCTGATGCTCTTGAGGACATTGGTGAGAAAGCAGCAGCTAATTATATCAGTAAGTTATTATTATTATTATTATTATTATTATTATTATTATTATTATTATTATTATTATTATTATTATTATTATTATTATTATTATTATTATTATTATTATTATTATTATTATTATTATTATTATTATTATTATTATTATTATTATTATTATTATTTTAATGCATTGTATCTATTCTTATGTGGTTTTACATGACACAAGCTTTGATATATAATTTATGTATTGTCTTATATGAAGTTTCTTTTATTTTTAGGAAAGATTATTATTAATAAAGAGTCTCCAGGTATTATATTATTATCACTGAATAAATATAATGCATGTATTTTTACTGACATTTGGTGAATGGTGGAACATTTTAGCTCTCACATGTTGTTGAGCATAACATGAATAATGAAATAAAACTTTTATTAACAGTTTCTTCACCAATTTACAAAATTAATAATATTAATATTAATTAACGTTTTCAATTTAAATAATTTTTTCTGTAGAGTTATGTCACTATCGTGAAGCACTTAAGACTATCGTGACTTGTCATCTCACCAAAGCAGTAGTTCAAGGAGAAGCTCGTGTTGGTAAAACATGTTTCAAGTCACTTCTACTGGATGAAAAGTACATCAA